AGGTAGTACGTAAAGTTCGTACTTCGTAGTATAGAAAGTTTATTTTGTAGTGTGAGGAGTTGAAGAAACAGAGAAAGAAGAAGAATCAGTTGAGAAGTTTGGAGTAGTAGATTGGAGTTTTTCCTTTGACTTTCATCCTATTGTAGGAGAGAGTAAGCCTTGCTAATAGGTGGCAGGGGATTCATGATCATTATTGCACTTTTCACAGTTGGGTAGGAGTTATTGAGCCCATTTAAGAACTGGAAAGCTCTTGATCTTCTATGAATTTGGGCAGGGCTTCACAAGAACATATAGGCCCTACATAGGAGGAGTTCAACTCATCCCAAAGGTTTTTAAGTTTGGTGAAGTATGTGGCAATGTCTGAAGATCCCTGAACAGTACCACTTATTTCTCTCTGAATCTGGAGATAATTGGATCCTTTGGATTGTCCAAATCTCTCATTGATATCAGTCCAAACTTCTTTGGCAGTTCTAAAGCACATAACACCGATAGCAATATCTCGAGATACAGAATTGGTGATCCAGGCTTTCACCATATCATTGCATCTCTCCCAGTAAGAATAATAAGGTGAATTAAGGCTAGGTTGATTTATTCTACCATCTAAAAGCCCTAATTTATTTTCGGCTGAAAGAGAAGCGATCATACTACTCCTCCAAAGCACAAAACCATGGCCATCAAATGGCACAGGTACCAATTGGCTACCAGGACTATCAGAGGGATGGACATAGAATGGATGAGAGGGATCGAGTGTAAAAGGTGCAAATCCCTCAGGCGTAGAAACTGAACTATCACCAGTAATACCCATAGTATGTACTAATTAGAGATAATTAACAGAAGAAATCTTTATTCATGCGATCTAAGAACAACTTAAAAATTAACGATATGCAAACAGGTAACTCATAAGATTTAAACCCTAAGATATATCAAAATAGTCCTGAAGTGTGTAGATTAGAGTGATATTACCAGCCTTCCTCTGAAAAACTCGAAGAAGTAAGGCCTTGTATATACTGCAGAAACCCTAGCTTGAATCGATCCGAAATTTCAATTGAATTTCTCGCAGAACTGTAACTCCTTATCAATACGAGTGTACTAGAGGACAATTTGAAGTAAAACCCTAAGCTTTTCCGGCCACAGATGAAAACCCCAATGGAATCCCGGATTTTAACCAGAAATCGACTTTGTTGGAATCTCTGAGTAAATCTCCATTGGAAATGAAGGTCATGACGCGGAGAATCGGAATTCCCGCTCTGACACCATGTTAGGATGAAGCTTAGACGAGCTATGGAGGATGAATGAACGAGAAAACCCTAGAAGGGCCGAGAAGAAGAAGAGAGAGACAGAGAGAAATGTAAAAGAGAAATAACCATCTATTATTCTTTATTCCATTGATGAGTATATGTATTTACAACAATAAAATGTATAATGGATAAAATAAAATGGGTAATGTGTAATTGGGCCCGGGTCCTATACAATTGTCTATTGGGCTTGTTATGTAGAAGGACTACCAGATTGGGCTCTAACGGGAAGTCCCACATTGGGGGATAAAGCGCTGCCTAACAAAGGCGACTCCATACCTAGGGACTCGAGCTCGAGACCTCTGGTTAAGGTTGAAGGAGTATTTACCACTCCACCACAACCCTTGCTGGTAAACGTCCAAATTATCTTTGTTCCTTTTGCGAGACGATTTGAAAAAAAAACTAATTCTTATTAAACATTATAAATTTTTAAAAATAGCGCGGGCTAGCCAATTTTAGGACTGTTAATTAAAAAATAGTCAGCATTTGCAAAGTCATTAAAAAAATAGCTACCACTATTTTACCAAAACATTGGAAAGTTCCAGCAAATATGCTTGATAATAGAGCTGCTACATATAAACTTCCAATATATTATGTTGGAACTCCAGCTCAGGGAAAGTTTCAGCATAATATGTTGGATTATGGAGCTCCTGCATATAAACTTCCAGCATATTATGTTGGAACTCTAGCACATTATGAAATTCCTGATGTCATATGTAAAAAATTCTAAGCTCCAGCATATTATGCTATAATATTTTTGAATTTTTAAGGATATTTTTATTCAAATTTTATCTTTAAATGAAAAAATATTAAATTTTAATTACTTTTAAAACTGTGCCTATTATTAGTTGTAAATCTGGCTATTTGTGATTTTTTTGCCTATAAATTTAAGAGAAATTTTCATAAAGCACTATCTTTTAGTGGTAATTAGCTATCTATAGATACCATTTGCTATATTACGGATTATAGATACGTTTTCTGTTGTTATAAGATGTATTAGATGTATTTAAGCTACTGTATTCATGAATACAATAGCAAAAATAGGCATGAATCAGGGAAGTCCAGCTAATCAGTTGTTGTATTTGAGTGTATTCGACTGTATTCATAGCGTGAAATATGGGATTACAGCTGGACAGATTATTGTATTCGAATGTATTCGACTGTATTCACGGCGTGAAACAGGGGATTACACTGTTTTTAAACGGAAAGTGAATCAATTAACATAATAGACTCCTAATATAACTCAACAAACTCAATTATAACATACAAAATTTGTATTTTCAGTTATAAAAAAGATTCTCAACCGAAAAATACCCCAAAAACATAGCAATCTTCAGAGAAATTATATAATACATCTGAATACATAAATTACATTAATTAAAAAAAATATATGAATACATTCATGGCATATAGCGAGACAGTGAATGCAATGAAATACATGGAATACAGCGAGATACATTGAATTACAATAAAAAAAAGACAATGAATACAATAAAATACATGAAAATGCAGCGTGATACGTTGAAAATATATTGAAATATATTAACAAAAAATCAAGTTGCTCAGCCCCAAACTCCGTCGTCTTTGTTCAAGAACAAACCCTAATTTCCGGCGAATTCACCGTCGAGCAAAAACCCATGTGTTGTGAGCACCGATCGAAAAAAACAGTATATTCCTCAGAACAAATCCCACAATTCACATTATCAGAATCCAAACACTTAGTTTCTTCTTTCTCCAATATTAACATACCTATAGCTTTCAAACAGCAACAAAGAAGAAGGGAGAAGAAAGAAAATAAGAGAAAAGAGAAGAAGAAGAAGGAAGTGGAAGTAGTGTCTGAAGTTTGCTCAAATCAGGTATACATTAAAAAAATTAAGAGAAAGCAACGTCCGATTGAATTGGAGAAATTGGAATCGGAGAGAACGTAGGTGATGTGGGTGAGAGGAATTTTGAGATTGAGCATCGTGTTTTCAGGGAATGGGGAAGAGAATGGCATGTATCAAAGTAGAGAGAAAAAGAAAATAGTGTAATCGAATAGTGTATTTAGTGGCTTAGGGGTAGGAGTTAACCAAAATTAGATATTTTGCTATAAATCTTAAAAGGTATCTATAGAATATAATTTTTTTAAATGGTATTTATTTAAAATAAATAAGATGTTAACATTTGCTATAGGAGGTAAAAATTCCTAAATTTAATCTGAGACTGCGTATCAACACATTTTGGGCTATTTGGGCTGGGCGGCCCAAATAGCCCAAAAAAGGCCTGGACATTGAGAGTATTATAGTCATTTCAGTATCTACATTTGATTCCTAATTCTAAACGATGACGATGACCTTTGGTGCAGAAACACACATCTAATTATAATAACGTTGCCCAGCCCAAATAGCCCAAAAAAGGCCTGGACATTGAGAGTATTATAGTCATTTCAGTATCTACATTTGATTCCTAATTCTAAACGATGACGATGACCTTTGGTGCAGAAACACACATCTAATTATAATAACGTCTCTCCCTCTCACACACACACACAGAGTCTCTTTTCGTTTTCACTACTCTCGGGAGACAAAGCACATGGTGTTTGTTTTCCCGGCGTAGATTCGCAAGGATGATCTCTATTACCTCATCGGAGCTCAACTACCTCGTTTTCCGGTACCTTCAAGAATCAGGTACGTCCTTCTTAGGGTTCAACTAATAATTGCTATCTCAAAAGGTTGGCTTAGACCCCGATATTTTGGGGCCCAAAAGATATACTTTTCTTATGTTATTTTGACATCGAAATTCGTAGGCAAAAAAGTACTAAATCTTTATTAGAACTGTGAATTGAATTACTCAATTTTTTTATGTTAATGAATAATATTTTTTACCACAAGATCCAAACTAATGTATTAAAAATACATGACTAATATTTTATTAACTTGAATTACCCTTACCGATATAAAATTTAATATTACTATCAGTTTTTTGTTGTGAACTTATGTTTTCTTGTAAAAATACTATAAACAAAACAATGAATAAAAATATTTGACTTTAGGCCACTAATTTTGTTGAGCCACCATTGTTACCTCATAAATTTTGTCTGTGTGTTTTTTTTGTTGAGAAATTGATCTTTATTTTCTGGATTTTGACCTTCACTTTCAACTAGGTTTATAGTTTAGGTTATGTTTTGCCTGGTTTTGTTCTTGAACACTTGTTTACATCTTGTGTTGCTTATGGAATGTTAATTTGAACAATTTTTGGAGTGGATCGGACTAGAGTAATTTATATTTTTCTAGTTATAACTATTGAGAAGCTATAGGGAAAAATATATCCCTATGTGTTTTTGGAAGTCAACAACAAGAACAATAACAACAAACCCAGTATAATCCCACAATCCCACAAAGTGGGGTCTGGGAGTAGTAGAGTGTACGAAGACCTTACCCCTACCTTGTGAGGGATGAGAGGCTGTTTCCGATAGACCCCGACTCAAGGTAAAAGTAAAGAAAGCAAACACAACAAGTAGTATCAGCAATTAGATAAGGTGATAGGGTCATAGAATAATCGAAGCGAAAGGATCAACATATAGTAAAAGAAATGTGAAACTCCTTGCCGAGGGCCTGTGCACCCCCGGGATTAGTCGGAGCTCTTAGAGACTCGGACACCCGGTGCAAATCAAAAAAAAAAAGGTATGAAAACAAGAGATTAATACTAATGCTACCAACATGGAAAGGAGACACTCCCGTTTATCTACTAACCTTCTACCCTAATCCTAATTGGCATGATGGAAGTCATAATAACCTTATTTGTCCCTGTATAATTGTGTATTCCAATTTTGTTCCCTATAATTTTTGACTTAGTGCATTTAACCTTCAGTTAAAGAAAGTGAGTGATTTTAGCTAGCGTTTAGCCATAGATTATCAAATTTGTTTTGAAAATGATATGAGTGAAGTTAGGTTTGAAGATGAAATGTGTTTGGACATCAGTTTTCAAAACATATTTCACTTTTTTTTTGTTGAAAAGACATGAAACATGACTTATACCTACAAGTTCTAAAAACTATCACAAATACCCAACATTTTTTTGATGAAATATATCACAAATACCCGACATTACCTTCATCAATAACATTCATTATATTATCGCAAACCATAGTCTTGAACATAAATAAATTTGGTGCAAAATTATTATTTTTATAATGAACTACATAATACACTATCAGATGACCGAGAAGACGAAGCAACATTGTTACAAAATAATAAATGGTGGGCTCTTTTATAAAATACAAAAGTTTGGGGCAATTTTTAAAAAATATATTAGTAATATTTTGGGCCAAAACCAACTCTTGAGCTGGTTTTGAGATTTGGGTTTTGGTTTTGGGAATTTGCCAAAATATGGATAAAATTTATGAACAAACATGTATTTTCCCAAAAAAATCCAAATAAATTTTGGCAAAATCTATGGCCAAACGGGTCCTTAGTCCCTCACTAACGGAAGCGAATGGTCTTTAACATAAAATCTACTACTAGGAAGGGTGATTTGAATATTATGCATATTACTCTTTGGCTTAGGGGTTACTGTTTTCAATTTGATTGTACATAGCGCATTCTTAGTTGTACAGAAATAATATTCAGGTTCATTATTCATTACCGACTCATGTGGCAAGCTACATGAATATCGAATCTAGATCATTAGTCATTGCGAATTCACGTGGTAACACCATGAACCCGTACATTTACCTATAAACGATACTTTTCTTTTCTAAATTTTTAGTCTTTAAATGTTCTTTCTGCTTGAATCAATATGCAGTGCTTAAGTAAATTTGATGAAACCTCAAGAGGAAACTCATGGCTAATTTCTTATTAGAGTGCTTTTTCACTTCGATTTTGTCAAATTTTGAGTTCTCTTCTCAATTTTTGCTCAGTTCGAGCGAGGATTCTTGTGGTTCTATCCATTTCAGTCTTTCTATACAGGCTTCGATCAAGCTGATTTTGTTCTTGAAATTCTATTGTTTCACTGACTTATCGGATGGGTGTTGTATATGTGCACATCTGAACTTGTTTCCTACAAATGGAGGGTACATGGCAGTTTAGTTATTGGCTAAGGAGAACGAAAGTAGAAATGATGAAGGTGTAGTTTGTAAGGCCAAATGTGGTGGCAATGTGTATTCGTGATTCCGACGATTGAGTAGCTCTGTTCAGTGCCACCTTTGGGGAAGATGCGGGAAGATATTTAACCTTTTCAAATAGAATTAGGTTATTTTAAAATATTTTAACTATTATACCTAAAAATGCCCCCCCCCCCCTTGGAGTATTAACATGTCGTTTTTCTCAATCAAATTTCGTTAGTGATTGGGCTAGAATCACCCACTTTATTTGATTGAAGGTTAAAATTGCTTAGTTGGATATCACAGTGACCGAAACTAGAAATTAGCCAAATCACAAGGACGAAAATTGCTATTTTCCCTATTTTCCATGAGGAAGTCATTTTCGATCCAGAGGTGAACATGACTTCCTTTGCTCACAGAAAGAAGTTGTTAGTTTTCAAGGAAGCTTGCATGCTCAATTTCTTCTTTTTGTTATCAAAGGGAGAGATAGAACAATGAGACAATGTTTATATGGCTTCAAGCAAATGCAAGATAGAACTATTTGTAATTTTGTGGCACTTTCAAAAGCTTGCATTAGGGTAGGCTATTTTCGTCACACCCCTAGGGGTGCGACCTTTTCCCGAAACCTCTGTGAATGTGGCATGATTTGTGCATCGGGTTGCCTCCTTTTTTGTGGCACTTTCAAGTGATTTGATATGTAATGGATCTTGTTCCCTGATAAAGGCAAACTTGTTGTTAACTAATGAGTTTGATGTTAGCTTTCAATTAATGATTGTTTTGCACACTTCTATTAACAAATGTTTCTTATAGGGTGCGTTAGATTGGACTTTTCACCGCGAATGTGTTTGAAAAGGATATTTCTAACCTAGCACAAATATTCTGCTTCATCCAATGTGAATTATGGCCGAACCACATATTGTTTTCTACATAATATCAATTAGTTGAGGGTGGTTATCTTAACTAGTTAAAAATTAGATGGCTAATTGAGATTATATCTTTCTCGGTTGATTTGGACATGTTCTTTTGAGAGCAGTTTCTATTCGATGTAAATTTTCTAGGCTCAATAGAGTATTTCATGTTCATGTGCATGTTATGTTGTTCATTTAGAAGCAAAGTAGTTTTTTTTGGATAATCGTGGTGTTCGGTCCAACGAGCACCTCGACTAATTCCATGGGGTACCTGCTACCTCCCACCAGTACAGATGCTAGGTAATTCTATCCACTGAGGCCTGCATAGATGGGAGAAAATCAAGTGGTTTTGCCTCCGGTAGGATTTGAACGTGAGACTTCATGCTTCTTAACACATTTCATTGACCACTAAGTGGCACACTTGTAGGGGTGCTTATCGGGTGGATAATTACGCTTAACGGTTCGGCTTATCGGTTATCGAATTATAAGTGTAGTAATCCGCTAGCCATCCAATAAGACAACAGGCGGATTGGTATCGGATTAACGCTTATTGGGTGGTTTATTAGCTAAACCAAATAGAAATTTTTTTGAACAATTCTAGTCTTGTGAATACCAAACGACCAAACTTGATAAAGTGACTCGACTCCCTTGTTAGTATGTACTACACTTTAGTTTACCAGTCTTGTTAACATTAGTCTTGTTAACATCTGTTGCTATATGATAGAATCTGTCAATACTTTGTAGTTTGTACTGCACTAATGCACTTATTATAAGTATTTCTTTTGGTTGCATAGCTAACTGTTTTATGTCAAAAAAAGGAAAGACTGAAAATTGGTCAAACTGATTGAAAACTTATATACAATCAAGCATGTACATCTAGTTGGTGTGTTTATTTATAAATCCTTTTGAAGTCTTCAGAGGCGGTAGTTCCACATATAGTTAATGAACATAAGTAAAGATATGTATATGTAAATATAAAAATTCTTAACGGGTTAACGGTTTATCCGATAAGAAAATTGAGTAATCCGCCCCCAAACTGTTAAGCCGTTAATTATAAAATCTCAATCCATTCACCAACCATTACTCCGATAACCCGATACCAATAAGCCAATAAGTCATCGGTTCGGTTAATGGTTACGGTTCGGTTTTGAACAACCCTCCTTGGGTGTAGAAGCAAAGTAGTTGCTAATGAAATAGTGTTGTGTCAGTTGATCTAGGGATATACCTTCTTTTTCTTGGGTCTCTTCTCTTCCTTCTCCTTTAGGGACAATTACTCCATGACTTTGATTGTCTTTCAATTTTTTTTGTGATTTTATTAAATTAATCGAATATACATTCCTTGTAAAATTGTTGCTGTGATGGACATATTTGGTTAAATGAACCCTTTTATGTTTTAGGTCTATTAGGTGATCACTCTTATATGGTTCTGTCTATTTATCCATTCTCAGTTGAAATTTTCTTAAATTTTTCTGTTTTCATATTCTTAGTCACCACTCTTTGTTTTTGCTATCAATGTTGAATCTCCTTATTTCTGACTGCTATACAGGGTTTACGCATTCAGCATTTGCTTTAGGATATGAGGCGGGGATTAATAAGAGCACAATAGATGGAAATTTAGTTCCCCCTGGTGCTCTGGTTACCTTTCTACAAAAGGGAATTCAATATCTTGAATTGGAAGCAAATTTGAGCAATGTAAGTGCAAAATTCGTGATGCTTGTCATTTGAGTCCCGAGTCCAAGCTCTTTTGAGAACTTCAAACTGACTGATAATAAATAAGGCATGCAGGATGACACAGATATGGATGAAGACTTCCAGTTCTTACAACCCATTGATCTTATCACGAAGGATGTATATGAGCTGCAAAAAATAATAAAAGAAAAAAAGGAAAAGCTTCGGCAAGATAAACCTAGGGGAAAAGACAAGGATAACAACGTCCATGAGAAGGAGCATGGACGAGAACCTGCTAGAGAAAGGGAGAAGGAAAAACAATTGAAGGAAAAAGAGCAAGATCGAGATCGGGAGAGAGAGAAGATTGAGAAGGATAAGGAGAGAGAGAAAAATAAGGACAAAGAAAAACCACATGAAGATCTCATGGACGTGAAAGCCAATGGAGATAAAGAGGTTGTCAGACATGAGGAGAATGGAAAGGCTGCAGGTATTAAATCTCAATATCTTAATCTTTATGAACTTTACAGCTGCAAGCCATCCTGGAATATGCATGCATCTGATACATTTGGTCTGAATTTTGTTAATCACATTATAAGGGATAAAATTCTTAATCACTTGACTTTCTGGAGCTGCAAAACAGATCCGGAGCCAATGGAGGTTTGCACAAGCTCTACCTCGCTGCCATGTGAAATCCCGAGTTCTGATGTACTGGTTTTGGAAGGCCATACATCGGAGGTATGATTAGATATAATCTACAGCTTCTCAAATTAGTATTATTCTCAATCTTTTAATTGGTAAATATTGTTGGTATTAGCATGACAATATTGTGTTGTTCTCAAACCTATCACAGGTCTTTGCATGTGCCTGGAGTCCAGACGGTTCACTTCTTGCATCTGGGTTAGCACATTAATATCTCTTTTGATGCTGCTCTTCTATAGGAGTCCAGTGATATTTCATTTCTATACCCCTATCTCGTATTATTCGTTGAGCTTTAGCCCTTTGGATATGGTCATTATTCTTTTCCAAGATAGGTGAAACTTATTGCCCTCCTTGACTGCTTTAGACTTTATTGTTATGTAATCTTCTTGGGGGGAGTAGGTAACCTTGTTTGTAGTCTAAACAGCAAAACACCACACCTTAGGGGTAAGGCATACCGTAGAAACAACTTAAAAGGATTTCGTCCAAGTGAGAAATGTATGCCCCAGAAGTAATCACCGTCTGTGAGCTTAATAGGATAAGGAGATACTATCTGATCAGCAGGGCTTTCTGTTGAATTAGGAAATTAATATATCGTTGCTATCTTGAATGCAGAGACGAGGAATGTGCCATACCAAGATGGTTGAAGATATTTGCAGAGACAACCATTTGTCTTCTAAGAAATCCTGCTTGACTGCATGTGCTTTTTTACATGAAGGAGTTGCTTTAAGTTGTACATTGAATTTGTCACTGGAATGCCAGCATTGACTTGAATATTTGCAGTTAATAATATCAACATCTAAGCAAATAATTCATTTAAAAATGAGATTGTATTACACCTAAATCTAGAACAGTGTGACATACTAAAAACCAAAATCGTGAACAGTGTGACATGCTAAAAACCAAAATCTTGAACAGGGTAGGCTTACATCTATAGGGCCAGACCGGTGATAAAGTTACTTTTAGGATTACCTTTTCTTATTGCTAATTATAGGAAATCCTCAACTCAGGTCTGGAGATTCTACTGCTAGAATTTGGACAATTGGAGATGGTCCTTGTCATTCTCGTATGCAAAATGGGCCTGTAAATGTGATGGTATTGAAGCATTTTAAAGGTCGAACAAACGAGAAAAGCAAGGATGTCACAACACTCGAGTGGAACGTAAGTATTTTGGAGATTATTGTTGGCTTCTCTTTTTTTTTTTTTTTGCATGTCTTATGAATTGCCAGTGCTCATGTACATTCTTATTAAATCTTGTACTTATGATTTCTTCCTTGTGTAGGGCGAGGGAAACCTACTAGCAACGGGTTCTTATGATGGTCAAGCTAGAATCTGGAACCGAGATGGTAAGCTATCTTGTTTTAACACTTTCTGTTTTTGAACAATGGGGTATCGGAAAATGCAACAGTTAAGTTGGTACTGCAGATATTGAATGTATGAGCACCATTGAGTGGCAGGGAAACCTATGTTGTATGATCTTTTTATTTTTTTGGAGAAGAAGTAAAGTAGTTTATTGTTATAGCACCAAGAGGGTGCTGCTCCACAGCATCCGCAAGATACATAATTTTTCGAACTGTACTACAGTATGCACGATAACTTATATAGTTGAAACTAATAGGCTGTAACCTTTCTGAAATTGGTAGCATTTTCATATGAAGGATCGATCTTTTTGAAATCACGTTGCTACCGTACTCAATTTCAATGCCGTTCATCCCTCATTTCTCCTGTTCTTATTCAACTTCCCTTTCTAGAGGGAAGCCTTATCAGAATCCTAATATGCAGCTTTCAGGAAGGCCTGCTCCCCCCCCCCCCCGAAGGACTATGAGGCATCACGGTTTCAATTCTAACAAGCATGTGAGAGAACCCTTTTATCATCCAACAACCTTTATAGAGTTTCAAACATCCATTACCTTGAAAGGGTAGTTTGAATAACATACTAGTTGCAGCAGCTGCCTAACTTATGCCTACTCATTGGAAGGTAGCCTCCTGCATATCAGTTTCCATACTTGAGAGATCTGTGAATCACCTATAAGACCAAAAAGATGATCTGCATCAGGAGGGGGTTACTGGAGGCCAATGAAAGGATAGCTGCAGCTAGATACTAGCTACAGCAGCTGCGTAACTTAGCCCTAGGGCCTTGATTTAACGGCATAGGTAGCATAAGCGAGATGTGTCGTAGTTCCCATCACAAGCTCAATTCCTACTAGGTAACCGAGTCTGGTTTTTAAGGTAGGGGACAGGCTCAAAAAAAGCATCTGCCTTATGCTACTCATTAGGAGGTAGCATCCTGCACATTAGTTTCAAATTTGAGAGATGTGAACCTCTTTTAAGACCAGAAAGATGATCTGGATCAGGAGCTTGCCAATGCATCCAGGGATGTGGTCAAGTGGTGAATAAAGTGGAATGAAAGTCATATAAGTCCAAGGTTTACAGCCAACCAAAGGCCCAAAATTGCGAGGTGATTTCTCCCTTCTCTGCCCAAGTCTTGGTGGCAAAGTTACCCTAGAAGGTAGCAGGTACCTAGTAGAATAGCGAGGTAGGCGCAAGTTGATCCAGGTACCACCACCTTTATATAAATTAAAGAGATTACTAGAGATTAATGTGGCATTGACAAATACCAATATTCTTATCAATGTCAAGTCATTTGGGCAATTGCTGGCAACTGCTTCACTGGCTTCTTGAGGGAAGCTGTGGAAGCCTCCCACAATATGTACTCGGATACGGGTGTGGATCTAGAAGTCGTATTAGTCATCACCTAAATCTTAGGATCTAGAAGTCGTTTTTAGGTGACCAAGCTTCTAAAGTGTTTTTCAAAAAGTACTTTTGGTGAGAAGAGTTTGTGTTTGACTAATTAATTTGAAAAACACTTTTGAGCACCAATTAGTGTTTGGCCAAGCTTTTAAAAAGTGCTTTTTGGGGAGAAGCTACTTTTTTCTGCTTCTGCTTCTTGCTCAAAAGCACTTCTGGTGAAAAAAAAAAGCACTTTTGGCAAAAAAGTTGGGACGATCAATTCCAGTGCGGATCCTAAACCCACACCCACACCCACACCCACACCCAAGTCTTTTGGATCGACATGGGTGTGGCAACTGGCAAGGAATTCGAAGGATCTGAGCAACACTGCTCCTACTAGAAAAACTGTGAAGGGTTTATGCTTATTCTGGGCTACACCCTTTGATGAATTGGCCTAGACTCTTAACAGTAGATCTCCTTGTCTCAACATCTTTGAGCGTCCTGCATGCGCAGCCCAAAAACGGCCGAAGAAAATGAAGAAATGAATGAGTTTCCTGGAAGATCAATAACTGATGAGATTATTATAGTTACAGCTTCAATATACGTATCAATATATGTCATGCAGTGCGAGCTGAAGGCCATCTCCTCTGGCAAGTATAGCAGATTCATACTGGTTTGCTGAACAATAAGCTAATCCTCTTTCAAAGGGGTCTGCAACTTAATCCGAAATGTTAATCTAAGTCTTTGCCCGCCTGATCAAAAAAGCATTTGCAGAAATCTCTTTCTTCTACAAGTTGTAGGTGGTGCATAAATCATGGTGTGTGGTCCAATTTCTTTGACTTGTTTTTTCCTTTGTGTGTCATGGTTCCGTCCATTCAGAACATGTTAAAAGATATCAAACTGGATTCTTTTGTCAAAAAATTAACTTCTGTTTAGGTCTTTCCTTGCTAATTGTTTGCGGCATCTGTAATATGATAGTATCTTATGGCACCAAATGTATATGCTGATATTCATGATCGATCTCACGAGTCACTTCATATCAGGGGAACTGGTAAATACTCTAATCAAACATAAAGGGCCAATCTTCTCGTTGAAGTGGAATAAGAAAGGTGATTATCTCCTTAGTGGTAGTGTAGACAAAACTGCCATTGTGTGGGATGTAAAGTCAGGCGAATGGAAGCAGCAATTTGAATTTCATTCAGGTGCTTTTCCTTTGTTCTGATTTAACTATGCTCCTAAGCTTTTTTCCCATTACTCACTTTGATTTCTTCTGTTTCCTATTTATTATATTGATCTATAACTATATTCCAGCTCCGACTCTTGATGTTGATTGGCGAAACAACAATTCCTTTGCAACCTGCTCCACTGATAACATGATTTATGTTTGTAAAGTTGGAGAGAGTCGGCCTGTCAAAACTTTCTCAGGGCATCAGGTGATGCTCCAGTACTCCTTTTTTTCTTTTTGGTAGGAAAATTGTTCCATATGTGGTTATTGATTGGTTACCAATTGCCTGTAAATATTATATTGGAGCTGGTCTACTGTGCACCTCTGGGAGGCACAGGGGTGGACATATTAACTCTCTTGAGGCTTATGCTCATCACATCATAAAATGCTCTTAAAATGTTTCAAAGCGAAAGTCTAATTGTGAACATATTGTAAAACATGTTTACCTCTGTTGCCTTGGTTGAGTACCTGATTATTAAGATACAACTTGTATTCATTGTATCTCGATGCCTGTGAGGTTGTAACTTGTAGGTACACATATGGCAGTGAGATGATTGGCTAAAGAATCTTTTGACCCCTTTCTCTAGCCATGAAAACTAATGGTTTGACTGCATGATGATTTCTCAAGCATTTGTATTATCGTGCAACTGTGCACGACAATTGCTCGGACAGTCATTTCTTTTTCATCTTTTTGGAATTTCACCCTATATGTTGAAAATTGTAGTTCTAATCTTTTGTGTTCTAGATCATACCAACTATTTTGTGATAAGTCCTATTCAGATGCAAAACTTTAGCATGATAAATAATAAGTACAATTATGGTATCCTCTTTTTATGAGCATTACTAAAAGATCTTATCTTTGTGATTGCAGAGTGAAGTCAATGCAATCAAGTGGGACCCCTCAGGCTCCTTGTTAGCATCGTGCTCTGATGACACCACGGCTAAGGTAATTGCTAACACTCTCTTTCCTTAAATTAATAGCCACTCCACAGATTTCAGAAAAGCACTGATTAGGACATTCTGGTTTTGTTGTCTGCACTAATACCCTCGTGTAGTTACCTAGATTCTGAATTTAGTCACTACAGGTTAGCTGATACAAATACATACTATTCCTTCTTCTTCCTTCTGATAATTCTGCCCCTGTCAGTTATTTCTCTCTTGGGAGGTCCTGATTGATAGAACATATTCAAATAGTTGTGTGAAGTCTTGCATCTGCAAACAAATGCATGCTTAACTAGGTCTTGCAAAGAACCTGATAATATTTTTTAGACCCCTCCCAAATTAGGAGGATCTATAGTGTTTCCACACTTCCCCTTCAGCGTGACTCGAACCCAGGACCTAACGGTCGTGGGTGGAGGTGCTTTTACCAACTGAACAAGCCTCACTTGTCAATAAATTTGTTTCCTGATAATCAATAAGCTTTAATTATCACCCTTAACCTCTTACAACAACAATTACGCCTCAAACCAAGACTAGTTGGCTGCTCCATTTTGGGCCTGTTTCTCTCCACTACTCAATTTGTTTTTTAGGACAAATTAATTCTGTAAAACTTGGGATACTCTAAATTTTGCACATGTCCGCACATTGTCGTACACCCTTAACCTCTGATGAAATAAAAGAAAGAAAGTGTGGTGCTTAACCGCTTTAATGAACAAAATTCCATTTCAACCTAGATTCTGGAATACTAAATCAGTAATCCTAAGCTAGTTCAAAAAAATTTCTAGTTCAAATGCATTCCAGAACTCCAGGTTCTGATTAATTAGAAATAATTGGTAATCAAGGAAGAGACAAAGTGAAAGTTGTTTTATAGCTTCACTTCCTTTAAGATAGTATTTCAAGTATGTTGTTTCGAAAAATCACCTTCAACTGATGCTCTGTGAAATTGGTCGATAACTCTCATCTGTTTGTGCAGATATGGAGCGTGAAACAAGATGCCTGCGTGCATGATTTCAAAGAACATGCCAAGGTGCAGCATTTAAGTTTATATACATATATACTGAGAACTTTGAATATGTTGTTTCTCTTTTCCTGTTTTTGTTTTATTCGCTTAATCAGATCAGAGATTAGTGTTTTTACAGTATTAATCTTTTAGGAGATCTATACCATCCGATGGAGTCCAACTGGCCCTGGTACGAGCAACCCAAATCAACAGTTGTTGCTGGCCAGGTAAATACTATGCACCATTACATTGAGGGTAAGAAAGTAGGTTACGATCCTACATATTGCCACAGGTCATACGTTGGATGACCTGCTGCTTCTACCATAATGGCATGGCACGTGGTGGTAACTTCAAGGCTCTTATTTCTATCAGATCTAGTTCTATTATTATGAGTTCATTTGGATTAGCTGATTGTAAATAGCTGATAAGTTTGAAATGCTGAAAAACATTTTAAGTGCTAAACTGATTTTTAAAATAAGCATTTATGTGTTTGGATAGAAGTGCTGAAACTGATAATAAGCAGTTGATGTGTTTGATAAAAAAATGTTGATAAGTTATTCTTTTGTTTAAATGACTAAAATACCCTTGAATTTTTTTCCAGAAGATTATAAATCAAGAAAAAATTTTGTAAAGAAAAGAATTGACAACGAATATGGAATGAAGAGAAAGTCAGGAAATTTAATTTGGGAAAAGTATTTTGTGAACTAGAAAATATTATTGAGGAAAAACTAGTAAAAATGTTGGTCAAACTAAAAGTGCTTATAAGCGAAAAACCCATAAGTTGGGGTTGACCAACTTATGACTTATGGCTGATTTTAGCTTATAAGCACTTTGGGTATTTATCAAACGCGTAGATAAGCCAAAAGGTGCTTATAAGCCAGTTTGACCAGCTTATAAGCTTAGCCAAACACCCTCCATATCTAATTGATGTGGGTCTAAGGGATGATAGTTTTATATGTGGACTTGGTTTTGGTGATCTATAGAAACTAACAAAGTGACAATTATTGCTTTAAGCGTCATTCCTCCTGTCATACGTTGCTTTTGCTCATCCATTGCAAAATAACGTATCACGCTATCACTTTACCATTTGATGCTTGTATTTCTCTTAATGCTTTAATGGTGAAGATGGCAAGGTAGCAATCCAAACAGTTGGAACCAACCCTATCGTCTTCGACATAGCCTTCGAATAAGACCAATCCTACTCTTATTTTTCCACTCCTTAAAAGGCAATTATTTAGTATTGGAATGAAATGTGCCAATGGTCGGAATCTTCTGGCAATTATTCAGATAGCCAACCCCGACTAGTTTGGGATTAAAGTAACTTGATTGATTGACTAATTTTTATTTTATTTTTTTAAATAAAGTTGGGGGAAGTTGAGAGGTAGCTTCCCCGTAATTCTCTCTACACTTCTTATATTTCATAGAGCTGCAATATCTCCAAAGACATGATCTGCGCACATTAGGAATTCTGTTATTGGTTCCTATTCTTTCTTTACAAGTGCTGCCCTGTAATTTAAGATCAATATGTCCTCATTTAGTGACATTTTTAACGTTGTCTATGAAATAACTTACGTTTGTCAAGTGTGCTTGATGTTCTTTAATCCCTCATCTCCAAGGGGTTAATCCGGGCATCAGACAATGAATGCCTTATTTTGTTGTACTCAAATCTTATAATTCTTTTTGATTCAATGTGCCTATTCTTTTGTCTTCTAATTATTATAATTCTATGTGCCTATTCTTTTTGCTGAACTTTTAATTTCCTCTGTAGTGCCTCTTTTGACTCCACAGTGAAGCTATGGGATGTAGAACTTGGCCGTCTCCTTCACAGTCTGAATGGCCATAGGTAATGGCTGTAATTATGCAGTTGCTTTTTATGTCTTTCGGAGAAAAGGTGTTGAGGTGATTGAACCTTCTAAAAAGTCTCATAGAAGAAGTCATTGCTGCTTAACAAAAGCAGTTATTATCATCGTCAAAAGCAAAGATAGTACATCTTTAAATATTTCTATTGTTCTTGTTATGTGACTGGGATTTTTGTTAGTATTTATTGGGCTTTTTCCATTGTAAACCCAGGGATCCCGTTTATTCTGTCGCATTTAGTCCAAACAGCGAGTACTTGGCAACCGGGTCATTGGATAGATGCTTGAACATATGGTCCGTGAAAGAGGCCAAGGTCATAAAAACTTACAGTGGAAATGGTGGAATCTTTGAAGTTTGCTGGAACAAGGAAGGCAACAAGGTTGCAGCTTGTTTCGCGGACAATGTGGTCTGTGTCTTTGATGTTCGGATATAGATGTTGTGGAACAAACAGGCAAAGATAATATTGAAGATGGACGAGATCGTTTAAGCACTTGTAACAAGTAATACCTTAATTTGTGACAGAAATCTGCTTGGACGTATGTACAATTGTAGGACAAACTGAATATTCAACAAATCATATTTGGAGTACATTGTAGATAGTGCAGGTAAGTATTATGGCACTGACGTAGGTTTAGGTTTTGGCAGAGCTGAAACTGTAATTACTGACTGTTGCACTGCGTTGAAGTGTGGAAGCTGCAGTGGCAGTGACCGCACTGTTATGATTTATTTGTTGCTCAAATGCTGACATTGAGTTGTTTAATTTCATTGCTCCCCTAGTATCAGGTTGATGTTCTTACTGCTACTTCCCGTCCTCTATTGCAAACTCTGTATGACTATGAGACACGGCTAAAATAGTGCACAAACTCGTACACCAAACTGGGTTTGGTATTTGAGTAACAGGGAATGAAATAAATAAAAATAGAATAGGTTTAAAATAGTATCTTATATATAGTTTTGATCTTTTGAGCTGAGGGTTTATGGAAATATTCTCTTTAACTTCATAAGGTAGGGGTAAGGTTTGTGTACATACTACCCTACTTAGAATCTACTCGTGGGATCTTTTAAGTTTGCTAGCATCAAATTTTGCAAACTGTCGCTGTTGATTTAATGAGAAATGTGAAATAAAATAATTTAACTAGAAACACGAAAAAGTTTCGTCAAATTCCAAAAAATTTATTTTCTTATATTCATATATACTGTGTGGTATTCTTGGTACTTAGTAGAAAAACGAGGCAGTATCTTGAAAAAGCATCTCTCACAGCGCAAGGGGGGAGGAGATTTATAAAATGTGTTAGGTACCCGACTTCTTTTAATATGGAACGTGAAAAAATCCATGAAATGAGCGGAGCGTTACAACTTTCAATATTGAGGATCAATATTATGCAATCACGTTGTGAAGGATAAAAAAAGTTTGGAATATAAAAATTCGGAAAAAATTATGAGGCATTGTCTTGTTCCATTGCATAAATGATAAATCTACAAAAGTTCCACATTTTCCCAATAATGTGAATTCATGGCAATGAATTACGACTATTTGCCAGAAATGGAAAAGGAACTAGGTATGATTTATTGATAAAATGCAGAGAGATTGTAGTCTTAGTTTCGCCATTCCAGTTGGTTTGGACGTAAGTTTCGTGTCTAATTTTTGCTACATCTTTGTTTACAAGGTGAATAGGCACATGACACGATATTTCTCAATTGGGGCTTTAGAGATTTTGGGCAACAAGGTCGAGCTCTCATGTCCACTACTGGCTGTTAAATGGTGGCTTCCAATTTGCAACATTTGACATTTTCAATAAGCACCCAACCACGCCTTGTGAATTGTTCACATTACTAATGACTACGTAATATCCAGCTGACTAAAGCACGTAAAGTTTTAGTATTTCTGTCGCAATCTAATTCCCTTTGGTATACTGGTGGTGGTGGTGGTGTGTACTGGGATTATCCTCAGATTTTGCAGAGCTAATAATAAGTGCTCCTGATGATATTTTTAGGACAATAAAAGATCAAAATTCTACACTCGAACATAAGGGATCATTTCGACTAAACAAACTCTTACAGGAATAAGATTGAGCTGAAAATAGTAAAATTTAATGACAAATGAATTCGGTGTTTTAGAATGCCATGAAATCCATAAAACCGAACAATTATAGTGGCAGCCTTGGTAGTTTGGTAGGATTTGTGTTTAAAACTAAATTAAAAGGTCAAATTAAACAAACAAAGAATTTAAGAACATCAATAAACAAAGAGGAAAATGAAATGAAGCATTTGTTTTTTTCTTTTTACTCGGACCGATTAGTGCATTTATTGATAAATAAATATATGTTATGTTATTCCACTTTCCTATCACATTCAATGGTTTAGCCTAAATTCGTTTTTGTTATTACAATATATGAATGGGGTATCCACGATAACACTGCCGAAAAGAAGGGAAAAAATATTAGAGGTTTTCGAATTCAAATTTTTGTAGTAAGTAATTGAGGATTTGAATCTTCAATGTGACGAAAATCTTGAGGAAATCGTCCAAAATGATACTCTATCTCTCCCAATTGTTGATCAAAAACATGTATCTGATTTGGGGTGATATTTGAAATTAAAGAAGAATATGAAGTTGCACGTTGTGTTTCAATTTTTGGATAAAATGCTTGTTAACATGTTGATCAATATAAGCGCATTTATTTTAAATAGGTGGTTGCTTTGTCATTTGGAAGAGCATCAGGTGAAGATGTTCCAATCATTGATGGATCAATGGAGGACAAAAGATGGAAGTCTATGAACAACGGTTTGGACATTGTCCCAGCAGAACCCTCAGTTGGAGATGGTGCTTGTATTGGAGAGTAGGGTGAAGATGTTCCAATCGATGGATTAATAAAGGATGAAAGATGGATCTGAAACTGCGCGTTGTGGTTCAATTTTTGGATAAAATGCTTGTTAAGAGGTTGATCAATATAAGCGCATTAATTATTTTAAATAGATGGTTGCTTTGTCATAACCATAAAATTGCATGAAAGGGGCGAAGAACTGCTTCAATTAACATCTCTTGTATCGCATTTTATCTATCAAAATTTTGGGACTATCAATTGGCCAGCTAGTAAAATGTCAGAAAAAAATATTGTCAAGGGTGAGTCTCGAATCTATAGGATACTTTGTCGTCTTGGTCTTGTTTATGATTGATTTATCAAATTGTTGACTTTCTTTAAACTTATATTTTAACATAGGTTAAGGTAGTGAATATGAGACCCTCAGTTACAAGGGCAGCACAATAAATTAATGTCCTAATGTCAATTTTTAATAAAGGTCGTAGAAACATACATGCATGAAAAAAGTTAATCGTCTTTTTTCTTCGTACTTTCTGTTTATAGTGCAATATTTTTACAAGATATAAAGCCTTTAAGTTACAACGAAATTTGATAGCAATATTATTATTATTTATATTGATAATGATTAGTTCATATTTATAAGTTGCCATGTGTTTGTAATATATTACCTTGGATCTTGTTATAAAAAGGTTATTTACTAATATGAAGATTTGAGTAGTTTAATAAAAAGTTCTAAATTATTTCTACTCAAAAGTAGGCAATTTTTTTTATTTTAATAAAAATTTTGTGATTTCTAAACAAAAATAAAATCACAAAAGGAATTTTACACCACATGACGGTTTAGAGCATATTTTTTATAGACACTTTCAAACAATAACCCAACTAAACAAAAATTTATTTCGTAAAAAAGAAAAATGTGAAAAAATAGAAGAAAACAAGAAAAAATGACATCGGTGCATGTAACACGCGCAGGCCCTGAAACTGGTTAAATATGTTCGGAGGTGGTATTAGCTCCACTTTAAACAAGAATAGTGAGTAATAGTCGCCCGTAAAATTAAAGTTTATAAATGACTTTTCCGAACAAGTTTAGGGAGTAACTTATGGATTTTTCGTTTTTTATTCAATGTGTTTGCTTTTGTAGCGGTATGTATGACTTTTCCGAACAAGTTCCTTGGCTTGGACTGGGCAGTTTGTCCAGTTTATACTCTTACATTCAAATAAGAGTACGTTCGGTGGAATAATTTCTTAGATGTATCACCGCATTCGGTGGAATAATTTCTTAGATGTACTAAGGCATACCCTTGAACTGTTGAACTTGAACGTTCAACATCCATTAAATAATGTGGAACATGAAAAAGATCCATGAAATGAACAGAGCTTCATGACTTTCAAAAGGATTAATATCATGCAATTCCATAGTATAGGATAAAAAAATTAGATCATAAAGATTCCTAATGTCAAAGTGGTATCAACGATATGCAGTTTCAAAATGAAGGATCAAATTTATAAGAGCTATGTAGTTTGAAACATACAGATTCTCCCAAATATGTAGAATTTACACCTATCACAGTAGCAAGATCACAAGAAATCTGAAACTTTCCGCCGTTTTTGTAACTTCATCATCCTCATTGGATTATTTCTAAATATAATTATAACAGTATCCAGCAGTTGTCTGATGAACATAGCTTATTTTTCTTGTAAAAAAATGGCAAAACTGAAAAGAGAATTGTTGTTGCAATGGGTACACATACTTGTGTAGATAAACACAAAGATTTAATTGTGCAATCTATTCTTTCATCTGAAGCTATTCAGGCTTTTTACATGACTGATTTCTATCTGTATCAAATACCACCAAACATCATCCCTGGAATACAAGACTTGAAATGGAATCAATAACTTCACAATCAATTCAATGGTTCTGTTTCTAACCGACCTACAAAATCTAATCAAACTTATCTTACTAACTACCAGTTAGTAATCCTAACACCAGATACATCTGAGGAGTGCAAAATCTACTAAAACAAACACTATGTCCGCAGCATCGTTAAAGCACCATCAGCCAGACTTCCAGTTTAAGCAAAACCAAGAACACAGTCTACTCCTTCCTATTGTATGTCCAAGCAGAAGCCTAATTTACAATTGTCTTGTATCTTCAAAGAATGAAGCTGGTATTTCCACTTGAGAGGTCAACGATGATACACATTTAAACTGTAACAAGTAAATCACAGGTCAAGTTAGATAACCAAATTAAACAAAGCATCTACAATAATATAACCAATGACCAACTTAGATTAATACCTTATGCTGCTTATATTTGTCCCTCACAGCCACTAAAGAGCCTCCTCTTCTACTTAATTGCAAGTCGTGTAAGATAAGAACACATTCCTTCAAATCTGCTGCTTTATATCCCGAATATTGTTGAAGAGCCAAACTCCAAGGATGTTTATTAGGTTGTAGTGTAAACCTCGAAAGGAATACCACAGCAGCAGCCAGCAAAGAAGGTAAATATTTCACACAGCTATAATCTAATATGCTTAACTCCGCTAGGTAATAGCCCAAAAACTCCAACTGCAAATTGGGGCTATTATAATCTTCTTGAGCAACCCCAGTAAATCTTCTGAGAAATGTTTTCACTGTGGGATTTCCCATCTCAAAGTTGAGTGTTTTAAGCACATCAGCTTCCATTTTCACCACTTCTTCCTTAGTATACGTATTGTCCGTTATGTAACAAAAATCTTCGACATGTGGTGGACTAATCTCCTCATACTTCCTGTAAATTACCAAATCAGAATACACTCATTAGCAAAATTCACAAACACTCAAATTTCCAGGAAATAAATCCAATGCAAAGCTAAGATACTTACGCAGAAATGAGCATTGACGAAACGCCCAAAAGCTGAAGTTTTTGCCTGGTGATGACATTTGTTGATAAGAATCTATCGATGTACGAAACAGCAAGATATAAAGTGTCTGAAAG